TCATGGCTGTCACGGGAGATGGGACTCGGGGAGCAGCGCTTGAGCAGCAAATACTGAGTAGTGCATTGTGCGATCTGCGATTCAGCACCTGTCTTTCCTTTCGATTGCAGGCAGTTGCTTTCAATGCACCATGAAAGTGGTGCGGGGAAGCGAGCTAAATGCAGCATCTCCGGGAACTGGGCACGTGAATCCTAAACCCTAAACCCTAAACCCTAAACCGGGCACTGGACACTTGAATACCATGGGCCACGCGGATCGTCAGGCCCACGCCTGAGCTCGCGCAGCTCGGACTGAGGGGCACGGCCACTTCCCACCGAGTAAGTAAGGTTATGACTACCTTAATTGGGGTTATAAGTACTTATAAGTATAGAGGTTATAACTACCTTAATCGGGGTTATAAGTACTTATATGTATAGAGGTTATAACTACTTATAAGTATAGAGGTTATAACTACCTTAACTTGGGGTTATAAGTACTTATATGTATAGAGGCTATAACTACCTTAATTGGGGTTATACGTACTTATATGTATAGAGGTTATAACTACCTTAATTGGGGTTATAAGTACTTATAAGTATAGAGGTTATAACTACCTTAATTGGGGTTATAAGTACTTATATGTATAGAGGTTATAACTACCTTAATTGGGGTTATAAGTACTTTATAAGTATAGAGGTTATAACTACCTTAATTGGGTTATAAGTACTTATATGTATAGAGGTTATAACTACCTTAATTGGGGTTATAAGTACTTATAAGTATAGAGGTTATAACTACCTTAATCGGGGTTATAAGTACTTATAAGTATAGAGGTTATAACTACTTATAAGTATAGAGGTTATAACTACCTTAACTTGGGTTATAAGTACTTATAAGTATAGATACCTTATTTATAACCCTCGTTTGCTGCTGGTGCGGCTTAGGGGCTTGGGCGTCGGGCTTGCACCTTGAAGTCATCAACGGCTGCACAAAAAGCTGAGGCTAACAGCTGCGGAGAGCAGGCGCATCTGGCGTCTGTTTCAACCACATCTAGTCACCTAGTCGTCACGTCTTGTGCCACGGTCTGCCGCGACATCACCGTCTTCCGACTTTTATATATTATTCCAGGGTGCTCTCAGCCACCAAGTCCGGGCTAAGCCCGGCCTACCGCCTTACCTCAACTTCAGCATGCTATCAGGTCAACCAGGTGCCCCAGCTCATCATTGCATCACGGGCTGACATGGCTATTACTTCTGCTTTGTGCACCTGGCACATCAATCTCAGTAAGTCTTCAGTGAGACACTGCAAGAAGCAGCATGTGCATGTCGCGGCCATGATGTGGCCACAGCGCGCTGTGTGCGGGCCATTTGGATGTCTTTTGGGTTCTGGCTGCCAGGCTGACATAGGCTGACATGCTGCCACTGAGTTTATCTTCCCAGCAGTTAGAGGATTTTTTGGGGGCAACCCCCTGCTTATCAATACCTTGTGACGATGGGCTGCGACCTCGTTTTCAACACTTCACACGACCAAGTCTTTATCGAATCGGGGAAGGTAATCTTCTTGCACTATTGCACTAGTAGCAAGTGCCACAAAATATTAGACAAGCACCGTCTAACATGTGTAGCAAGTGCGTACTAGTTTGAGAACTGCGAGCTGAGAACTGCGAGCTGTAGCATTCTCGTCACGTATTTGGGCGACTCTGTTTCGTCATGGGTAGCACAACACGATGAGCGCTTTTTGTTATCTTGCGCATGGCATCTTCGCAGCGGCAGGATTGTCTTCAGAAACTGTGGACACTCGTAACCTCAAGGTCCAGGGCTGGGGCGCAGAGGCTGAAACTGAAAGCCCCCGAAAACCAAAGGATCGTCATGGTCATCAGCACCATCAGCAGAATCACTTTCATCATCGATCCCAGCATCACCGGCTGTTGCACCAACTTGCGCAGCGTCATCATCTTCGTTGTCACCACTAACGTTGTGATCAGCCCCTTCAGCATCTCATCACTGTCATCACCGTCTTCTTCACGGGACTGTCAGCGTCACCATCTCACCCTCAGCCTCACTCTGTGCCTTAGCTTCGGCCGTCATCCTTTCACCAACACTGTTTCGCCATTGCAGGCAGGCCACCCAAGGAGTAGCTGCTGTTATCCACCAGGACAGCGGCCAAGAGCGGCAGGCCAAGAAAGAGCAGCCAAAAGGCGCATGTCCGATGCAAACACCCAAGCTTCGAGTGGTAGCCTTAGTCTGCTGGGTGTTTCAGGTGTGTCCCACCCTTTGGGGTGTGGGGTCTATAACGGAGTCCAGGTTCTGCAGCCCCCCCAAAATCCACTACCCCGAAGCGGAGTCCTCTCTTGGGTTTGTCCAGTCAAATCCCGAATCCAATGTCCAAAAACCCCGAATACGGTTTGAAGCATCTTATAATACAAATAATACAATCATACTGAAGAACCCTAATAGGTAGTTAAATATTGAAGCAAAATTACACAGGTTATCCTCTCACAGTGCACATGGTACAGCGCACGAAAAGATTCAATCGCCATGATGTTCAGAATCATAAAACAGGCATCCATAGCCATTGCTCTCTTCGAGCTGCCGAAACATGATGATGACGCTGCACCCTCTTCAAATCAAAGATCAAAGATCCTTCGGAGAAATAGAAAAAAACAGATCCGCTTGCCGCAAGCACTGCAAATCAGCAGCCATAGCACCAGCAACCGTAGCACAAATACAACTAGGCAGACAAGTAATGCTACTAAGATTGACTGAAACGTCCGCCGTCATCACACGAGAAGGGCGTGATTCCACTTGATGTTTCGAGAGCCATTCTTACACCCTGTGCAAACCATCAGTGGTCTCAGCGAACGCGGCGAAGAGCTGGGGCCAGGAACTGCGCTAGCACATGCCAGGCCATCCCAAAGGAAAGATCGAAAGGCCAAGACCTCCGTGCAGCGAGGACTGCGGCCGACCATGGTGAGTCCGGGGAGCTGCTGTCGAGGAGTTCTGGTTCGACTTTGGAATTCCAGCTGTCGCACCTTTCGAGCTCCGAAGCCAAGGTGTGTCACAGCAACGATGGCAACATCGAGGAAGATACGGATCAGGATGATGTGGGCATGAGGATGATAGGATGGTGAGACTGATTGGCATGATGAGTATGATGAGGATCATCGGGGTGCTGACGATGATGCCGATGATGCTGGTAGCACATACTGATGGGGAGGATGACGATGATCGTGGTGGTGGTGGCGGAGAGGTGATGGTGAAGACGATGGTAATGATGACGACCATGGTTGTGCTGCTGATGATGATGACCTTGATGGCGATGATAATGCTGGTCCTGGTGATGAAAGTGATGCGACGCTGGTGGGAAGCCTGACTACTTCCTCAGCTTCGTGGGAAGATGAACCCTCACCCTCATGGACACCCTTTAAAGAACCCTGCAAACACTGCTAGTTATGATGTGTCCCGCCTTTGGCGCCAGTCCTCGCAGCTTTCGAGAGTCTCGTGCTCGGGATCTTGCGCATACCTGGGTGGTAAATACATACCCCTATAGTTCCTAATAGTTCATAGGTTTCTGCCATAACATGCCCTCCGCAGCCGGCTCTGATTCTTAAGGCCCCCGCGGCAACATTATGGTGACAGGGAGACAATAGTGACTACTGTAGAAGCCGGAAGGTTTAATGATACCGTTCCTTCGCATTCCTTCTTATAGCCATACCATGAAATGCGGCAAAAACCTAACTTCTGATTTTCTTGGCTTTGGGCCCTGTTGTAGAACCCTGATACCACACGTTGGAAGAACCCTTTAGAAGAATTTCCGACCCTTTTTGTCACAATAGGTCACCCTCTCCCAACCACGGGCCCCTAAATTACGAACAAAGCCAACCCCAGGTTGAAGCTTTGCACGTAGGCCTTGAACGTCGGAAGCTTCTCGGAATTCTTCGTGTCATACTGACTGTGACAAGTCGCCCTGCACGATGACGACTACGACTTAGGTTTCTTAGGTTTCTGTGGGCCGCATGTATCAGATTTTCTCAGCTTGAACAAGTCCAATGTGTCTCCTGTCAGGAGTGCTGCCATGATCCTACCAGTTGAGGTGTCTACCAGGGTCCCCGAGCCTTCAATCCGCCCGGGATCGCGTAATCCTAAGCGAAAAACACATCGTAGCCAAGATGCTCGGTTGACTCGTCCTTGGCAAAACTTGCAAGGGCAGCGGTCGGGGTTTTGAACACTGTTTCGAGGGTTCGGCTCCGAGCAAGGAGTACCGCTGGTGTTCTTCCTCTTGCAACATTTTCGGTTTGGGGGTTCGGAATTGTCAGCACCGAAGCGTCCAAGGAAATATTACGTTGATGGCCTTTCAAGTCTCTTTTCCAGAAGGTAGCTCATCACTGAACCACCAGTCGTTCTTTCGAGATCCATTCAAAGAAAGGCTGCACGTTGCAAGGAAAGGTTGCAGGTTGAGACGTTAGCGGCCGTTAGCGGGTCTTCAACGACGGATGCACAAGGAAAGACACCGTCGAATTGAAATTCTGCGACACGCCCACCACCCTTCTCACAGTCGCAGCCGAGGCAGAAAAACCTTATTCTCCAGTTCAGCCACAACCTGGTCCGGAATCCGAAGCCGACAAACACCACAAATACCCGAAACTCTAACATCTCAACTTTGGCGAAGGCCTGCAGTCGGTCTTGGTCCATTCGCTCCAGCAGCAGTGCTGCACAGTAGGTGCAGTAAACATAGTCAGCCAGCTCCCCAAACCTGGTGGAGCAGTTAGGGCAGTAGCGAAAAGATTCTTGCTCGGATATGCACTTGTGTATTCGTCGTCTATCTATCTAGCTATCAACCTATCTATGTATCTGTCTGTCTGTCTCTCTATCTACCTATCTAGCTATCTATCTACCTATCTATCTGT